TCTCTGGTTGCTCACAGCCTGTGACAGAGGCACCAGGGGGGTGGTTAAACCTGGGTTTTCCAGGATATGTGGTCACGTGTGCAGTCCAAGCAGCAAACAATCTCTGAATTTCACTTCTTATTCTAGCCCCACCTGATGAGTCAGGATCTTCCTGAAGACTGGGATAAGCAGCCTGTCAAAGTTCTGGTTGGGAAGAACTTTGAAGAAGTAGCTTTTGATGAGAATAAGAATGTCTTTGTAGAGTTCTGTAAGTATCTTCCTACAGCTGATTCCAAGTAACTGGTGTGTGAAAGGAGTGCCAAAATGCTGTGTAACCATGATTAGGGAGAAAGCCTTTTGCAGAGTCCAGGCCCCAAAGGCAATGCCTTGGTTGGAAAGATGTGTGTGAACTGTCTGGCTAGGAAGAGGTGGTACCTCATTAGTTTGTTGGTACAGCTCTGTCTCTGTAATTAACAGATGCCCCATGGTGTGGTCACTGCAAGCAGCTGGCTCCAATCTGGGACAAGCTGGGAGAGATCTACAGGGACCATGAGAACATTGTCATTGCCAAGATGGACTCCACAGCTAATGAAGTGGAGGCGGTGAAAATCCACAGCTTCCCCACCCTCAAGTTCTTCCCTGCAGGCCCTGGCAGAAATGTAAGCAGGAGCCATGGTCGCGTAGCCAGGGAGCACGGGAATACTCACTGCCTGCTTGAGTTGTGTCTTGGACAAGGCCTTTGGGAGGGCTCTGCATTCTGTTGGGATAGAACATCAAGTCTACAGGACACCTCAGACCCTTTGTGGGGGGCTGTGCTGTAGGAAAGATTTTGGGGTGGGGTGGGAAGTGGGAATGGGGAGAAGAGGGAGCATAGAGGACAGTGTGCTCATCTGCAGGCTATTTTTTCCTCGCAGTGATCTCTGAAGTCTAGTGGCTGAGCTGTTTTCCTTCGTCTCATATGGGTGAAGGTGAATTTTTAAATTCCCTTTTGCTTGGCATGTTCACTGTTGCTCAGAAAGAGAATTCTCCTCTCCAGGGGTGTGGGTCAGTAGTGCCCATAACCAGTATCTTCATGTTTTCCCTCTGTAGGTCATTGACTATAACGGGGAGAGGACATTAGAAGGCTTCAAAAAATTCCTGGAGAGCGGAGGTCAGGATGGGGCAGCAGCTGATGATGTGAGTAATGTGAATGGAGCACTCTGGCCTTGGGAACACTGAGCATGGGTCACAGATCTGGTGCTGTTCCTGAATCCTCAGTCCTAAGTAAGATCCTGGGTTGTTATGTGACAGGAGAGGATATTACCAGTGAAACAAAAGTGCCCACAGTGTGATCTGGTCAGGTACTGCCTGGCTGGCTGTGAGCCTGCAATGGGCTCCTTTTCCAGAGAGCACCCAGTGGGGGTGTGAAGCAGCAGTGCTGTGGTTGTGCACTGCTGGGGCACTGAGGCCTTGTTCCCTAGGGAACTCCTGCTCAGCACCTGGAACTGGGCTGTGGGATCAGTGCTACATACCTGTGTATCTAGCTGGAAGCTCCTCACTGGATGTTTTGTTAACATGGCAGCAGAGAGCAGGGACCAGCTCAGAGCTGTGGCTCTGTACTTGGTTCTGGATCTGCCTCATGTGCCAGAAACCAGGAGCTGTCTGTAACCTCAACAGGATCTGGAGGACCTGGAGACAGATGAAGAGACAGACCTTGAGGAAGGTGATGAGGATGAGCAGAAACTCCAAAAGGATGAATTGTAAAGAGAAGACTGATCTACATCACCCAAAAAATCAGACACTAAATTGGCTGCTGTGATGCAGCCAGGGAGTCAGAAACCCATTAAGATTTAAAGCAGAAGGTGAATGACTGGAAATCCAGGGATTGGCTTTTAAAGTAACACTTTACCCTCACTTGTCTGTACACTTGACTTTTCTTTCTTTTGGCTTTTGAGAAGGGAGCTGTCACTAGGGAGCCAGCCCAGCCAGCTGGGCTCTTTTTTTATTGTGATGTACTTTTTTGTACACAGCTTTTGTCTGTAGTATTCAGTTTTTCTGGGCAGCAGGAGGTTGTGAGGTGTTAGCAGGAGTTCAGTGGCCTGACAGTCTGGAGCCTTGCCACTAACATCTTCCAAGAAAGCTTTTTTCTTTTTCTCTTAAAACTAAAGCCCATAATTGATATCTGCACCTGGCAGGGTCCTTAATGGCCTCAGCTGTTCTTTCCTGGGATGGGCCTTCAGCATATGTAGGGGCAGAGGGCTGATGGCTTCCCGGGGAAAGATGGATGTGAAGGTGCTTCTCTTCATGGTGGCCAGATGTTCCTTTTTCCTCTGCTTTAAGACACTTGGAGATGACAATTCCAAATACCTGGAAGGTGGAATACTGTATGCACTGGCTGTGGCAGGCTTTGGGGTGGATGTGGCCACTGGCTCACCAGCATTGTCTCCATCCTTCTGATCAAAGGCAAGACTTGCAATCCCTTTCCATGAATTATTTTGGGTGGGTTGACACGGCAGGTGGGTGGTGGGGGAGGGCCTGATAAACAGATCAACCAGGACATTAGCAATTATTGGGGTTTGGGAACATGACGGGGGGAGTGCCTCAAAGGCCTGAGCTGCATCAGCCTGGTTCTTAGCATTCTGCTACAATAACATTGGTACTGAATTTGACGGCCAAATAAAGTTGAGATTTTAATACTATTACGTCTCGGTCTTTATCAAAGTACAGAATATTTGAACGTGCCCTGCCAAGGGATCAGAGTTGTAGGATGAGTCTTGAGGGACTCTGCTGCAATGGGGTGTGGGTCAGCTTTCTCCACATAATTGATAAAGGAAAAAAAAATTGCCCAAGCCCCGTCCAGATTCCATGGGCTTGTGCAGGTGCTCTGTTAGGGGTGACTTGGCTCTGGGAGCGTGTGGCCCCTGGGCCAGCTGGCTGGCATGAGAGGATCTTGCTCTGGACCAGTGAACCAGGACATGCTGGGGCTGCTGTGGCTCTGCCAGCTGAGCTCACATGACCCTGTGAGCCACACTGCTATTTCCAAACATGCTGCTTGCTGCTGAAGGTATTTTGGTTTGAAAATATTCTATAAATGTTACAGGGGAGGGCACAGTAAGGTTAGAGCGCAACTGGGAGAGCTATTGGTACCTGTCACTGAGGAAGGGTGTGCTGAGGCAGTGGAACAGACAGGGGTGTTGGACAACACTTGTCTCTCTGTCTCCAGCTGTAGCCTCCTCCTGTGGCTCCCCAGGAGCTGAGCCCTGGCAGAGTCCTGTGTGGTGTCCCCAAGCCTTGGGCACAGCAGCACCAGGGCTGGGGCTGAGCAGGTACCTGCTGACTGAGGGATCAGGAAGGGTGGTCTCTGAGACAACAGCAGCCAGGTGTGTGTGTGACCTGTACCTGTGGTTAAGGCCAGGAGGAACTTTGAAGACACCTCCCTCCCGGGTTGTGACCCTGCATGATTGAACCTGGGCAGGGGCCCAGCTGCCAGTGCTGCACCCCAACAGAGCAAGTAGTGCTGGTGGCCTGGGCTGGTTGGTGACAGCTGCCTTGTGTTTTGGGGTGGGGAGGAAAGGAGCCCCACTAGCCAGAAGTTCCACTGGAAGGTGCTGTCTAGGACTCAGCTCATAAAGGTCCGTTTTGTGAAGCCAGTTGAAGTGTAACCAAGGCTGAGCTCTGCAGTGATTCCCTCCTGTTCCTGGATTGAGACTTGACATGCTCAGCTAAGAGGAGGGGGCTCTTCTAATGCAAAGCTCCTTGTGGCAGAGCAGGACTTCAGCAACCATCTCGTGTATGTGGCTAATTGCTGTTCCAAGAAAGCAGGCTGGAAGTGTTCTGTCCCCAGTGCTGTGTTCTGGCTGATGTAACCCCGAGCAGACATTCGGCCAAGAGATCGATGTGTTTGCCAGCAGATAAACAAGGGCAGGAGTTCTCAGGTGCGTGGCTCACCAGGCTGCCAGGGTTGAGGCAAGGGTCTGCTGCAGGAGGGGCAGAGTGAAATCCCTGACTCCTAAAGCAGCACAGGGATTTTTTTCTGACATACCTGCCTGGGCAATCCCCATTAGCACAACCCAGAGAACAAAATGCTCACGTGTCTGACATGCCCAAACTTTAATGGGTAAAAGCAGTAGTTGCTTGAATGCTTGATGGACCTAAGTGATTTGTCTGTGGCAGTTGGTCTGTTTTGGGCCTGTGACTGTAGCTGGAGAGTACTGGAGGCAGGAATTGTCTGGCGGTGGTGCCGTTCTTCCACTGTTCCTCTGAGGCTGCTCGAAGCAGCCTGTCCTCACCAGCAGCTGTTTCCCAGTCTGAAGTAGGACATGGAACACCAGGGACCAGCAGTGCAGGCTTCTGGTTCTACAGCTGCCTCGGGAGCATCAGCAGTACCTCTGTCCTCACTAGAGCACAGAGGACACCTGATTCACTGGTCACATTCTGCGTGCTGGGCTGCGTGCTGTTGCAGTCGTGCTGGGCAACACTGCTCCTCTTGCTTCTTTCGAGTTGTCCCATGCAGCTACAGAAGGGTGAACAGCTCTGGACGGTTTTGGCACCATAGCCCTGGCATGTCCACACTGCGCTGGCCGGTCAGGACACGAGCGGCCGGTTCCCTGTGTTGGCAATCGTGCCTGTGCCCCTTCTCCCAGGAGAGTTTGTTGCTGGGAAGTTGCTTCCAGGGTTCCCTGAAGGGCTGGCTATCCATGCAAGAGTAGATTTGACCCCTTGGATGGGCACATCAACAGGTGGGTGTAAGATGAGACACCAACTTCTGCCCAAAAGTGGGAGGCTGTGGGCCTGGGCGGCTCAATTACGAAGCATCATGGCAAATAGCATGAGCTGCATGTCCCCAAAATAGCCCAGGGGAGCCTTTATAACACGGTGCCCCCAGAGAACCATCAGTCCTGGGCCAAGGGCCTGTGGGTGAGCTGCGAGTGCCAGGTGCCACCTCCTGCATGCGGCTTGGGAGTGTAGAAGGGCACGGCGGCTGCCACTTCCCTGCGGTGAGGGGACACGGACGCAGCAGGAGCACAGCAGTGGGGGGAACAGCACAGCTCCAAAGGAAGGAGAGCCCTGAGAGGCAGAAGAGGAGAGAGCAGGGCAGCAAGGGGCTGGACCGAGCACTAAGCAAGCCCGATGCCACTGTGCCTGAAGGCTGCTGTCAGCATGAGGGACTGCTGCCCCGTGTCGGTGCCCCAGTACGGTCGGTACGCCCCGCGCCTCAGGGCCTCGCGCACTGTGCACTTCCCCAACGACGTCGTCTTTCAGGACCATATCAAGCAGGGGGACCTGGAACAGGTGGGCAGGTTCATACGAGCCAGGAAGGTGACGCTGGACACCATCTACCCCTCCGGTGAGTGCTGCTGGGGTCGACAGAGCTGGGGCAGAGTCGGGGCACAGCTCGGTGGGGCCCCGAGGGGAAACGGGTGCCAGGCCATGGGCCACCTTCAGCAGAGCTGCAGTGAGTTGAGTCCCTCCCTAGTGAGGAACAGTGACCTCAGAATGGCCCAGCAGGGCCCAAGAGCCAGGACCCCAACATCTCCCCTCAACAGCACAGTCAGCGCACACTGTGGGAAGGGGGGAGCTTGGCCCCAAGGTCCCTCCAAAGCATCTGCAGTGTGGTGAGACTTCGAAGAGCAGCAGCAAGCACAGTCTGGTCTGTGAGCTGTGGGGAGGACTTTGGCTCCTGCCTTCACCCCAGCTTGAGGATGAGCGGGGAAACACTCTGCATTTGTTCCTGGCTCTGCCCATTTCTCACAGACGCTGCTCCCTCTTGCATGTCTGGCTTCAGGGACTCATGGGGAGGGCTTTGTGTTCTGTTTGCACCCAACCTCAACAGCAACTGTTTATGGAATGCCTTGATCCATATGGGCTGGTGCAGAGCCCAGATTTGTCCTTTTCGTGTGCTTGGCTTCAGCTTCTGCTGTCACATGGCCACAGAGGAAGCCTGGGCTCAAATGACCCCAGGCTTCCTCCCATCCATACTGATTCTTAATTAGTGAGGACCTTCTCAAATGCCAGCAAAGCAGGACCACAGAGACTCTTCTTGTGTCTGTGTGTGAGTCTCAGCCAAGACTCAGGGCAGCTGCTCTGAGTACAGGGCAACTCCTTCTCCCTCCCTTTGTCCTGCCTGGCCAGGGCAGTGGGTGCTACACCATCCCAGACAGGTTATTTATATTGCAGAAGGGGAACAGGAACCTGCGGCAGCTCCTCTGGCTTCCTCAGTCTCTTGTTCTTTCCCTACAGTCTTTTCCCTGAGCAGGAGGGCTCCTCACCCCTTTCCTGGGCTGTGCACAACGTGCACTTGTGAGCTCAGCATGGAGAACCCTTCCCCAGGCCAGGGCTAACACCTCCTGTCCCTCCAGGCATGGCAGCTCTCCACGAGGCTGTGCTGACAGGAAACCTGGACTGTGTCAAGCTCCTGGTGAAGTACGGTGCCGACATCCACCAGAGAGATGAGAACGGCTGGACACCCCTGCACATGGCCTGCAGCGACGGCTACGCCGACATAGCCAGGTGAGGGGTTGCGAGGGTCCCTGGTGCTGCAGAGCTCCAGAACCGACAGCACCGGGATGGAGCAGGGTCTGGGCGGCTCCTCCGGGGTTGCCTGGTGCCTGCACTGTCCCCAGGACTGTTCGGGCCATGCTGTTCCCGGCGCCGGGGCTGCGGGCCCGGGGATGCCCGGCCCGGCGGCTCAGCTCCGTGTCCTGCAGGTACCTCCTGTCCCTCGGGGCCAGCCTGGAGGCCACCACCGATGACGGGGAGAAGCCCTCGGACCTCATCGATCCCGAGTACGAGGACCTGGTGCAGCTTTTCGGAGCCACCGCGCTGCGCTGAAGCGGGCGCGGTGAGGAGAGGCCTCGAGGGCCGGGGCGGCGGGGCTGCGCCCGCCCGAGGGCCGGGGCTGGGCCCGGGCTGGGCCCGGGCGGCGGCCGGGCAGCGGCGCTCGGTACCGCGAATCGGGAACCACTTTGTATTTTTCCAATAAAGCATCTCGGTCATCGCATCCGCCGGGCCTTGAGCTGGGCATGGGCCGGGGCTGGGGCGGGGCCGATACCGGGGCTGGGTGGGGCCTGTACCGGGGCTGGGTGGGGCCTGTACCGGGGCTGGGTGGGGCCTGTACCGGGGCTCGGTCGGAGCGGTCCCGGGCCTGGGCGGGCCTGGGCGGGGGGGCGTGGGCAGGGCGCGGGGGGTGGGGCCGCGCCTGCGCGCTGCGGCGCTTCCGTGCGGTGTCGCAGGCGGGCCCGGTGCGGGCCGCGCGTTGCCCGGCGACGGGCGGGGCCCCGCGGCCTATCCCGGCCTGGCGCCTCGCCTTCCTCCCGCAGCCCCGCCGCGCCCGCCGAGCGCCGCCGCACCCGCCGAGTGCCGCCCCGCCCCGCCCGGCCCCGCCGAGCGCCGCCGCCGCCATGGCCAGGTGAGCCCCGCCCGGCCCCGGGCCCAGCGCGGCCCCGGGCCCGGCTCAGCCCCTTCGCGCTCCGCCCGCAGCTCCCCTGTGTCCCGAGTGGTGTACAACGGGAAGCGGAGCGGCGGCCCGCGCTCCCCCGGCGCCGGTAGCGAGATCTTCACGCCGGCCCACGAGGAGAACGTGCGCTTCATCTACGAGGGTGAGCGGGGCGGGGGCCGCGGGGCGGAGGGGGGCGCGGGGGGCGCGGCCGAGGCGAGACGCCCCTGTCCCTGTCTCCTCAGCCTGGCAGTGCGTGGAGCGCGACCTGCGCAGCCAGATGGGCTCCGAGCGCGGCCTGGTCGAGGAGTACGTGGAGAAGATGCCGAACCCCAGCCTGAAAGGTGCGGGGGCTGGAGTCACCACCCCGGCTGTGACGGCCCGGGGGCTGCGCGGGCTGGGCGGGGGCTACACTGCCTCTGCCGCCAAAGTCTCTTCCTGTCTCCCTTGCAGCGTTTAAACCTGTCGACCTGGGTGATCTGAAGAGGAGGAACACACAGGATGCAAAGAAGTCCTAAGGCGGGTTCTCCCTGTAGATCGGCTGCTCTCCTAAGGTCCTCAAGCAGATATAAGTTGAAATTTTGTGTTGATTTCCTCCTCTGGTCTGTGCTCCCTAAAGCCCGCGTGAGAGCCAGTCAGCTTTGGGGCTGGCTTTGAAGCTGCCTGAGGTCAAGGATGCTCAGCAGCTTACCAAGGCTGCCCAGAGCCTGTTGCAAAGGATTCCAGCCCCCTACTCATAGCTTTCTCTGGCCTCAAACTGTCCTTCCTCCCTTCACACTGAGCTTCCCGGTCTCCTGTTCCCCTCCTGCCGCTGCCCTGAGCGCTGGGCGGGGCTGGGCTGAGCGGATGGGCAGCACCAGGTCTGTGCACCAAGGCCCTGCAGCTGCTGAGGTGGGATGTGGGCAGAAGGGACAGTTGGGTCTGTCCCTGTGCCTCATCCAGCCTGCCTGTGCAGCTGAGGGCTGGGCAGGCTGCAGCCAGGTTGTTCCTAGCTCCACTGTGGCAGCAAGTTGCTGCCTGGGCTTCCAGAGCACACGGGCGGGCCACATCCGAGGTTGGATTTTCCATGTGCTTAGAGCAGGCCAAGATCCCTGCAGTGCTTGAGGGGAATTGTTCCCCTCCCTGCAGATGGAAAGGGGTGGGGTTCCCCACCCCAGGTGCCTGAGAGGTGCTCAGAGGGGCCCGAGCTCCCACCACGTGGAGCGAGGCTCGAGGTCCTCGCCCAGCAGCGCCAGGGTTTTGAACCAACGTTCTCCAGACACACAGCCTTGGAGAGACCTGGCTCCACAGTCCCCCCTGGGCCTTCCTTGAGCCCCTCGCTCCTGGCTGGTCTCGGGTGGTTCCTGCACCATCACCTGAGCTGGGGAGAGCGACTGTGCCACCCTTGCCTGCCTGAGCCGCGGGGCCGCTCCCTGGGGAGGTGGCAGCCCCCTGCTTACCCGTGTTCCAGACCAGCGGGGACAGGGCTGCCAGGCCTGCCCAGTGCCAACAGCTGCAGGAGGGCTGCAGGGACTGGGGGCTGCCAGTACCTTTCCTTTGTTGAGTCTTTGAGCTGTGCTGTTCCCTTTCCTTTCTCTCTGTGATCTGTCACTTGAGGAGTGTTGTAAATAAACGCTGGTGTCCTTTTGGGGCTGCCTCGGTGTGGTGCTGTGGCCTGGCCCTGCTCCCTGTGCTGGGGATGGGGTGCAGAGAGCAGGAGCTGCCTCTGTTCTGTGTTTATTTTCCGCAAAGGAGCCTTGGCCTCGCACTTGCTGGGGCTGTTGATTTCCCCATGGGCAGGTGAAGCGGGCACTGTGTGCTGGCAGCACAATGCCCTTGGGCTCAGGCAACACTCCAGGCACCCAGCATCCCAGGAGCTGTTGCTGCACCCAGGATTTAAATGTTGAGACTATTAATACCCTTGTATCCTCTTCCCTCTCCTGCTTTAATGGCATTTAAGCTATACTTAGCTTAATTGCTAGAATTTCTACTCACATGCATCTCGACACTTGCCATGACCCTGTTTACCTCCCATCACCAAAACATTCCCAGGACGCGCTGCCCGATTCCAGCGCGGCAGGAGGAGAACTCAGCCCTGCTGCCGCTGGAGCTGCCTCAGGCACTGCCTCCCTGCAGCCACAGACAGTGGGGTCGGGAGGTGACAGTTGTCGCTGTCATGGCCCCTCTCCGCCTGTTCTGTTGATGTACCCCGTGTTTGGGGAGCCTGACAGGACAGCAGAGCCCTGCGTGTGTCCAGAGCCATGTCCATGTGTCCCGAGGGGATGGGAAGGGGGACCCATCCCAACTGATGGACAGGCAGGCTACTGTCCATCCGCTACAGAGCCCAGCACCACCCTTTTGTCTGGGCACTCACCTGAGGCTGTCCCAGGGGCTGCAGGGGGGCCCCAGGGACGTGTGTGGCTCCTGCAGCCTCACCAACCTCTGCCTTGTTTTCCTCTCAGCTCAAGCACAGTGAAGCCAGAGGCGAAGCAGCTGCTTGAGCTCTAATGAAATGTACAAAACTCATTCTATAAACAGGAGATTTTTATAAAGACTGATACCAAAACACAGGGTGAGGGCAGTGACACAGTTGGGGGAGGTGGCGGGGGTGTCCCTGCAAGGGGTGAGGCCGCAGGCCAGAGAAATCAGGCTGTTTACCTATAAAAATCGACCTCGGCAGGGTTTATTTCCCTGTGCCTTGGACATGATGCTCTTCATTAGATTAAAGGGTGGGAGGAGGAGAGGAACGTGTTTGTCATTGAATTAGGCAGTGAGAAGAGGCCCGTCAGCAGGCAGAATCGACTTTGGAGACCAATTTGTGGTGCTCAATTCCCTTGATAAAGTGGGAGTTTTCCTGAGAGGCACTGTGCCCTGGGGTGCCCAGCTGTGTTGGGGTGGGGGGCAGTACCTGGGGTGCCTGTCTGTTCCAGGGGGGCAATGGCTGGGGCAGCAGTGCCCGGTTCATTGGCTCAGGGGCGAGGAACTCCTCTGGCCCTGTTACTTGCCCTGGGCTGAGCTTCACAGGCAGGGACTGGCACTGTCGCCGTGTGGTCTCTGGAGGAGTCTGCACTGAGGGTGGTGAGGCAGGGGCATGGGCTGCCTGGAGAGACGGTGGATGCCCCGTCCCTGGAAACAGCACCAGGCTGGACAGGGCTCTGAGCAATCTGGTCTGGTGCAGGTGTTTGTGCTCACCATGGGTGCTGGACCAGAGGACCTTCAAAGGTGCATGTGCGAGGGTGCCCAGGTTGTACCCTGGGGTGGGGATGCCCCTTGGTGCTGTCAGGGTGGACATCATAGGTGACACTGCTGTGGGCACTGCCAGACCATGGCAGGGAGGGGTCCTGTTCCAGAAGTGATGAGAAAGGACACCGTCACAGTCCTGTGGGAGCTGGGTCCTTGGGCTGGGACTGGACCCACTCCTAGGGGGATCCTGGGAGCGAGGCTGCCTCCCAACCCAGCATTCATGAGGGGTCTGTGGATACTGGGAAGCTGCTGGCCAGGTCATATGATCCTGTGGGAGGTGGTGGGTGGCCAGGGCACAGGGCTGCAGGCTCAGCCCTGTGGCAGAGGCAGTGCCTGGCTGTGGGGCAAAACTGGCTGGCGCAGGTGCTGTGGGATGTGCCCTGGCTCAGGCAGACACTGGGCACTTGCACCGGGCTCCCAGCCACCAGCAGACACTGTCCCTGCTCAGGGCTGATGGGCACCGGGCACCGTGGGACACGGGGCAGTATGTCATCGGAAATGGGGCTGTCCCTCAGCACCAGGGGACACAGGATGTTGCCACAGGACACCCCATAGGCTGGGGCTGGCTTGGGGTCATCAGAAAGTCCTGTCATTGTGTAGCACATGTGGAACCACCCTTCCTGGGCAGGGTCTGGAGGTCTCCCTGTCCCCAGTGTTGTGGGATGAGCCTGGTCCCAGCAGGGCATTGGGGGTGGACAGCAGGATGTTGCCACAGCAACGCTGGAACAACAGGCGCAGGGCCCGGCACTGCGCCATGACCATATTTACCTTCCCAGAAACCGCTTCGTGCTCCAGCAATTTGCCTCAATTAGGCTCGTTACCACATCAGGAGGCCCCAGTGACTGCAGTGGCCATTGGGGCCACTCTGGCACCATGTCTTGAGCAGGGTGGTCACTGTCCCCCTCACTGTCCTCATCCCTGTACCTGGTGGCCTGGGCAGACCCCAGCTCCTGCGTTCCCCTTGCCCTGCCCACCCCGCCATGGCCCCTGTGTCCTCACTGCCCCACAGTGCTGCTGCCGCAGCCCTCCAGCCCCACAGCCCAGCCCCTCTGCCACCATCCCTGCTGTGCACATTCCCACTGCCAATGCTGCAGCGGCCCCCAGGCTCTGGGTCCCGTTCAGCTGAGACAGACAGTGAGTTATCAAGTAAACAGAGGAAAATTACTGCGTCCTGGGCTGGGTGCTGCTGCTGGAGCCAAGTGCTGGGTGGCTCGGGCCACGGCTGCCCTCCTCATGTCCAGCCAGCCCCACCGACGCCTTTCTGTGGACTGGGACCCCCGCCACTCCCCGCAGACAGTGTGGCTCCTGCTGTTCCTTGTGCTGGCTGGCGTGGGCGGCACTGCAGTGGCCATAGGGTGTGGGTGATGCTGAGACAGGACTTAGCGAGAGGGCGGCCGCCCACCCAGAGCTGCTGTTTACTGTGTGGGGCTGCCGAGGCTGCCACGGCACAGCTCCAACTCTCACCCACCACTCAGCATATCCCCTGCACCAGGGCTGCGTGTGGGGCCTGGAACCACGACACGCTTGGGGCCAGGTGAAGCAGTGTCATGGGTGATGGCCAGTGCCCGTGCCCAGGGCCGTGGGCAGTGAGGGTCACAGCAAGGTCACACAGTTGTCCATCCCACTGCCACCCTCAGGCACAGTGACCCAATCAAGGGAGCAGCACCTGCCTAATCCCCACACACCAGGCGATTGTGGTGCCCAAAGCTGTGGCATCCGGACTTAGTGCTCATATGCACGGCACAAGCCTCTTAGGGCACCGCTGTGCCCCCTCCCTGCCCTGGCCAGCCCGGCCCACTGGCACAAGGGTCCCTCAGCCCCACACCCCGCTGCTGCTCAGGGCGCTCAGCGCTGCCCGTGGCTGCTGCCCGGCCGTGGGCTGGGCTGGCTCGAGGGAGAGCGGGGGGTGCCGTGGGCAGAGCCAAATGATTTAATTAAGGGCTCCTGGCAGCGAGAGGACAGAGCCGATTAGCGGCCAGAGGAGAGCGCGTGCTGAGGGAGCCGGAGCCTCGGCCGGCAGCACTGCAGTGGCTGCTGCTGCGTGTCTGCCCTGCTCGTCTGTGCAGGGCCATGGGGCACGCAGTGGGGCTGGAGGGCAAGCAGCGAGGCATGCAGTGGGTCTGTCTTCTGGTGCAGCTCATCCCTGCCACATGGCCCAGCTCCCATGGCTGGGGCCATCACCCGTGGATGCCAGTGGGAGCATGGCCCCGATGTGTCTGATGTCCCTGGAGTCCCCAGTCCCCACACCCCACAGAGAGGCACACACGGAGCTGGCCCTGCAGCCCGGCACGGGCCCACACCTATTTACAGACAGGACAGATAAATTACAGCACTGTGCACAGGGACTCAAAGGCGCACGAGGGCAGCACCGCAGGACAGACTCCCACCCCCAGCCCTCCCAGCCCCACAGATCCCACCCCAGAGATCCAGGTCCCACTCGCCTTCCTCATTGTGTCCATTGTCCACGCGCTCAGCGCAGCACCCGCACTAGGGCGGCAGGTCCCGGTGCCTGCCAGCGCCCGGGGAGGACAGGGCAGGGGATGGCGGCACTCCAGTGGCTCGGCACAGCCCTCCCGCCTGGCCGTGGGCTCAGAAGTGGCTCTCGGCTGTGGTCTCAGGAAACTCGTAGCAGTGGTGCCGATCTCCCAGGGCGAGGTGCTCAGCGGTGCTGCGCCCGCTTCTCTCGGGGCGGTGGGAGCTGGGGTGGGGGGGTGGGCTGTGCCCCAGCCCGTTGGTGCAGCCGCTCACCAGCTGGTGCTTCTCGCAGACACTGCCAGCGCCATTGCGGGCGCTGGGTGCGTGGCTGTAGGTGTGCCTGTACTCCTCAGCCAGGTCCCTCCCCAGCTTCCAGCGCTGCCACCGCTTCAACAGCTCTGCCTGCACCTGCGGGTAGAGGCCATCAGCATAACCCAGCGCCCCTGCTGTCCCACCCCTGCTGTCCCACTCACCTCCTTGTTGACAAAGCAGTAGAGAATGGCCACCAGCATCCCCTGGGTGGAGGGAGAAGAGGTGTGAGGCACGCAGCCAGACCCCAATCTGGTTCCTACCGAGAGTAAGAGTCCCCACAGAGGGCTGGTCCTGCAAGGGCTGGGCTCACCTGGAAGGAGCTCAGGAAGAGGTCAAAGAAGAGCTTGACATAGCGCAGCGTGCCCTGGGCGTGCTCATCCGTGACAAAGGCGAAGACCACCTCATGGATGCCCAGCAGCGGGATCAGCGTCAGCGTGGACTTGGCCAGCCTGCGGGACAGAGGTCACGAGGTGGACGCACACGTGTGTGTGCTGTGGACACGCGGGGCGGGCCGTGCCCAGCGCCCACCTGAACTTGTAGTCAGTGTAGCGCATCTGGTGCGCGCGGAGCTTGGAGACAAGGATCTGGATGATGCGGATGAAGATGAAGAAGTTGATCTGCAACAGAATGGAGTGGGCCATGAGGGGCAGGGGCAGGGGCAGGCAGGACAGCTCTGCCCTTCTGCCCTGGGCAGCCCCTCTCGCATCTGTCTCAGGGCTTGCAAAACAGATGCTGAGATGGCAAGCAAGAGGCTGCAATGGGCTCACCAGGATAGCCAGAAACACGGGGAAGCGAAGGATCCACCAGAAGCCCATGTTGTTGTTAGTGGACCAGCACCTGCAGAGGGGAGGGATGGGGACTTCCAGTAAGCCCCTTGACCAAGTGGCTGCTGGAGTCTGGTGTGGTATCGGCAGCCCTAGCTGAGCAAGCACCACGGGCAGGCACCCTGCCCTTGGCATGGGCAGTGGTGTGGAGCCTCTCCGGGGCCATCACAACATCCCCACAGTCCCACACACACCCACTGTACCCTCAGTAGCAGGTGCTGATACTCACTGGATGTTTTCATAGAGGAACTTCACAACGACCCACGGGATGAGGAACAGCACGGGTGCCCCTGAGGGGAGGTGGGCAGGTGGCAGGTGAGGCATGGCAGGGGACAGGGTCAGGGGGGCCAGGCCGCACAAACTCACCCCAGCCAATGCACAGGTAGAGGGTGAAGTAGCTCCTTTCAGAGAAGACAGCCACCACTAGCAGATTGTGCAGGTAGATGCCCTCCACCAGCAGCCAGCAGTAGTTGGCCACAATGCCATACTGCATGAAAACTGTGGCTGCCCGGCAGCCTGCGGCTGCCTGTGGACAAAGGTCAGGGCTGCATAACTGTGCATGTGCCTGTGCCCCCAGCCTCACCAGTGCCATGAGTCCCCAGCCCCACCAGCACCACCAGCCCCACCCCTGCCCTACCAGTACTGACCTCATCACTCAGCCAAACTTGCACGCTGTAGCCGTCGATCTTGTCGCTGTAGTGGGTCTTGAGCAGGGCGTCAATGACCAGCACGGAGACACCCTTCAGGATGAAGGAGGCGAAGAGGTTCATGTGGATGTAGTTCCTCATGCAGTGCAGCTTGCTGTGGATGCAGGGGCTGCTGTCAGTGTCCACGCACAGACCCCCAGTCTCCACCTGCGCATGCTGCGGGCAGCCGTGCCCACATCCCCACCTGAAGCCCAGCAGCAGGGCCAGGGCGAGCAGCAGCGCGCACAGGGACATGGAGTAGCCCACGGTGTACATCATCTTGAAGCTGCCATAGGTCTTTGCAAATTTTTCCTAGAAGAGGAGGGAGCAAGTAAGGGCAAGGGCAGGCGGGGGGGCAGGCAGGGATGCCTGCACCCCTGCTGCCCAGCTCTGCCCACCTGCGCATTTATCTCCTCATCATCCTGCTGGCACTGTGTGGCATCACGTAGGGACTGTCCCCGTGGCCCCGTCACCCACTGCCCGTCTGGCCCGCAGGTCTTGAAGACGTGTCTATGCTTCACTGTGAGGGCAGGGGGTGGTGGGGTGTGCTGGGCCCAGATCCCCCGCAGGCACTGTGCACCAGCACATCCACGAGCACCTGCGGCAGCACGTGCACACACGTCTGTGCACACACCTGTGCACGCAGGAGCACGTGCCTGCCAGCTCTTACCTTTGTGGTACCAGGGCAGGAACCAGGGGCAGGGCACGCTGGCCGTGCTGTTGGGGGCGGTGTCAGGCCAGCATGAGAACTTGTCGAAGGTGCGGTTACAGACCAGCTCTGCACAAGGACAGGAGACGGCGGCGTCTTGGCCTTACCCTCCCTGGGTGCCAGGATCCCCCATAGCCCCCTGCTCTGTCCCTGTCCTGCTAGAACCCTCTGCTGCCTCTTCTGCTCTATCCCCATCTAAGAGGGATGCCCCATCAGCCCCTGTCCCCATCCCACCAGAACCTTCCTGGCCCCCGTGGGCACTGACCTGTGGGCGCAGGCAGGAGACTCATGTTGTACTGGCACTCCTCTCTGTACTCCGTCCATTTCTCAAAGAGAATATCTGTGATCTGAGCAGAGGGACCCTGGGGGCACCAGGAAGTGTCACCTGTCACCTGCATCCTGCCCCCAGGACCTGCCTTGCTGTGACAGGCAGTGACCCCGGCTTTGGGACAGCTACACGAGTGCAGGTTAACAGCCTGTGCCATGCCACAACACGTCATGTGATGGCAGGGCAGGCAGGAAAGGGCATCAGCTGCTGCAGTGCACGCCGTGGTGAGGGGCTGCAGTGGGCAGGGATGGATCAGTGGCGGCCCGGGGTGGGCAGCGAGTTGGGCACGGGGCAGAGCGCTGTTGTGTGGGACAGCCCATCCTTACCTGGCAGCAGAGCAGCAGCAGCGGGAGGGTGAGGAGATGTGGCTGGGACATCCCTCCTCTGGGCCACTCGCATGGGGTGCAGTGCGGGGTGCCTGGCTTCCTACCAGCCCTCAGCAGCTTCTCCACCCTGGTGGTGATGGCCCTGGCACGTGGGTGATCCTGTGTGAGACACCCGGTCACAGAGACTCTCAGGGTAGAGATGGGGGACATGGGTCTGGGGGCATGCAGGGTAGGAGGGGGCCACACTGGCACAGAGCTGGCCCAGTCACGGCCCTATGCACCTTTCCCAGTCCTAACCTGACCCTGTCTGGCATTCACATTCAGCTGCTTGTTCCTACATTTTCCCGCCAAGTACCTGTTTTTAACTCCCCAGGATGGCACTGGGACTGTGACCATGTCTACTCTCTGTTCATCAAGCCAACCCTAACCCCTGTGCAGCCAAAGCACAGCCACACGCAAGACATCACAACCTCTGAGCAGGGCAGACCCCCACGCCCCATGGCAGCACTGCCTCCAGAGCCCCAGGGGTGACCCGGGCTGATGCCACCCCGCACTGGAGCTGGTGCCCAGCTGTACATCGGTGCTAAGCCCTGAGAGTGCGGGGCCCCTATGGCAGAAGGACCCCTCCTCACACCTGAGCATGCTCTCAGGTGGGGGCCAGCACCTGGAGGTGGGCAGGGAGCCACCAACAGCACGGGGCCAGGCGGGGATGGGGACAAAGGTTGGCTGTTAACCCACAGGGATCCCAGCTTGTGGGGTTGCCTTTGCTCTGGGACCAGCTCAGCTGGGCTGTGCCGCTGTGCCTTCATCCTGCCAGCGATGTAGGGCCTTGTCTGACACAGCGCCCAAGTGCTCTGCACAGACCCCGGCTCACGAGGTGCTGTAATTCCCTCCATCCCTCTAAGCCGGTTATGGGGCTCCTGAGCGTTATTTCAGCTCTTCCCACAAGGGGCCATTCTGGCAGCAGCCCCATGGCACGGGCACGGCTTTGTGGTGGGAGGGCAGCCGAGCTGTGAGGGACGGAAGAGACAGCAGTGCTGGTGCCACCACAGACAATCCAGCATCGCCCCTGGCCCCTGTGCTCCCCCTGGGCACCAGCCAGAGCATCACGCTCCCCGACCAGCCCTGCTCCCAGGGCTCGCCGCTCTGCCTGTGCCTATTTTTATCCCTGGGAAAGTCGTGTTTCCTCCATCAGGGCAGACCCACTCGCCATGTCGCAAGTGGTTGCTGGAGTAGCTCATTAATCAGCACATGGAGCTCCAGATGAGGCTTGGGGAGCAGAACCTGCAATGGCCTTATTTAGCCAGTCCCAGGACAGAGGGAACTGTCTCCTGGGACAGTCCTCACTGGGTGGCCTCTGGGAACAGTGACCTTTGGTGGGTGCCCACTGGGCACCTGACCATGTCAGCATCCTTGTGTCATCCCCCTCAGCCCCTACCCACCAATCCTGTCCCCACACCAGCATCCCTGTCCCAGTCCTCCTCCCATCCCCACCCTAGAAACTCTGTCCCCACACCAGCATCCCTGTCCTTGTCCCACCCTCAGCCCCCCAACATCAACCCCACCTACCCCATCCCACCACTGCTCACGTCCCGACCCCATGGGACGGTCCTGGTGCCCGTCCTTGGCCGAGCATCTATCCCTGCCCTGGTTTGGAATGCATTTCCAGGCGCGTGGGTTACAGCAACTTGCTGCCAGCCCCTCTGTGTGGCGGGGGAGCAGCTTTGGGGCAGAGGTGTCGCTATTTTTAGCTGCTGCAGTGGGATTTAGCAGCAGGGAGGCCTCTGCCCTGGACTCCCCCAGCTGGTAGCCACTCCCCAGCCCCCAGCCCTGCTACGGCCAAGCCGGGCAGACTGCACTGGGTGAGGGGTCCTGGCACAAGGGCCGGTCACGCTCCTCTCTGTGGCACGGGGCTCTCCCCTCACCCTGCCCAGGCCCTTTGCCCCAGCTGCCCACAGCACTGTGCAGCCATGGCACTGTGCTGGATCCCCACTCCCCATAAGGTGGGGAGCCCCCACAGCTCCACTGCCTAGTGGGGAGCACAGACAGGGGTTCTTTCCAGCAGAGACACGGGTGTGTGGGAGTAGTCACGGACTAACTGTCCCTGGTGCTGTGTGGTGTGGCAGGGAGGGAGCAGTGGCTCTATGTGGTAGAACAGCAGGGTGTATGGAGGCCAGGACCACTGGCAGCACCTCCTGGGAGCTGGTACTGCCCAGCAGCAGTATGCACAGAGTTTGGAGCAGTAGCTCTGCCAACTGGACATGCCGTTGCTGCCACTGCCAGAGGCTCCTCTCAGTGACCTCCTGGGTGCCAGAGGCAGCACCACAGGAGGGACCTGGCCCCACATCACCCACCACTTTCCCTCATCCTGCCATGCCCAACTGGCTCTCAGGACCACATTCCCTGCCCTGGCACCTTGTTCCCAGCCAGGGCCAGGCTTTGGGGAACCCCCACCACACTGGGCCATGGGAGCTGGGTGGAGGGTACCTGCCATGTGAGTGGGTGCCTCTGAGGGGCTGAAGCGCATGACAGTGTGTGAGCAAGGGACTTCCACCCCACACTGGTGTTGGACAATGTGGTGTGTTCCCATGTCACAGCTCTGTGGCTGCCGACCCCCTGGGCTGCAAACACCCGGCACGGCTCCACCGCTGCAGCCACAAAGGTGCTCACGACAGCAGAGCAGGAACAAGGAGCCAACACCGGGATGGCTGAGTGCACGCAGGGAAGGGGCCGTGCTGGCAGCCCCAGCGCTGGGGGTCAGAGGAGTCAAACACAGGCATCATCATCTGCCCTCAGGGTAGGGGGAGTGGGGCTGTCAGTGGTGTCTATGTTTGTGCACTGAGCCCTTCCCCTGCCAGTGGTGCCAACCTCTGCAGTTGCAGGGACAAAGCAAAGACTCCCTTTCCCTTTAACTGGTGTCCCTGTGATCCCTGGCTGACCTGTGGCTCATGGTGGCCACCACTGGCCCTGGAGTGCTCACGAGGCAGGGGCCAGGGTGTGCAGCCTGGGCAGGTTAAGGGGCGAGTCGAGGACCCAGGTGCACTACTGCCATGACATTGCACTGAGACAGGGAACGGATGGGAAAAGGGGATTTTGCTCCCCACTAGTGGATGCAAAGCCCTTGTGCTACCCTGCAGAAGCTCTGTACCACCATGGACCCCTACAGCCAGCTGAGTGCCCAGGCCTGCCTGGGGAGACTCTCCTCATCCCGCCCTGATCAGCTTCCCCTGGGATTTTGACCCCCAGTCCCTCCAGCGCTGCTGCTATGGCACGTGAGAGGGAACGAGCTCCACATCTGGGATCATTGTGGTCTATTGCCACATGGATCAGCGGCTCGGTGAACCCCCGTGGGACGCTCATGGGCATTTGCAACGTGACCCGGGAGCACCTTGGCGCAGCCATGGCCCTGCACGAGCACTGTGAGGCTGGTGCAGCCCCACAAAGCCCCAGGACTCTTGCCTCCCCGTGGAATGCCTCCTCACGAGCGTAGCCCCGCAGCCGGCACAGCCCCGCTGGCTCGGAGGCAGCGCTGGGGGGGGACTGTGTGCCCTCTGAACACAGGGATTAGCCCCCATGCGCTAATGCAGGGCTTTCCACGGCTGGCTTGGCTTTGAGCTTGGGAGCTACACGCCAGCACGGCAGGGGCTTTGGCACTTGGCAGGGGAGGGGACGGTGCTGGGCCAGAGCTGATGCAATGCCAGCACCAGCCTGGCCCTGCAGATGCTGCTCCACTTTCCACCCAAGACCATGGCAAGCAGGGCAAGGGTGGGGGGAGAGAGCCAGGGCAGGGAGGCCCAGGAGGTCTGGTCTACCCTGTCCCTGCCTGTGTCCCTGCCCCAAGCTAGGGGACGTTTCCCACTCCCCTGCTCCAGTCCTTCTCTAAGAACTGAGCACCAGGAACTTTGGCTGCAGAGGAGCAGCTGAGCTGCCCAGAGCAGCCCTCGTGCTGCAAGAGCATGGCTTGTTTGCACAGAGCTACACGATTGTGGAAGCCCTGAGCACATGGAGAGAGCCAACGTCACCAGGCACCAGCGATGTCGGATTCTGTGTCATCTTGGACCAAGGAAACCCAAACCAGCCCTGACAGTATTTTCGTCAACAGCAGTACAGGATGCAAACAGGACAGATGCTCTTTGCATCACCTCCACGACCCCCCGGCTGCCTCCAGCCATGGTCAGGGGCTCCTGCACAGCTGCCCAGTACCAAAGAGGGTCTGTGGTCTTCAGGCACAGAAGGGCAGTGGCCAAATGACCTTGCTGCCCAGCTGGCTCTGGCAAGTGGATGCTGAGCCACACAGCAGCTTGTCCCTGGCTCAGGGAAAGGGGTGGTTTTGTTCATCACGTTGCACGAAACCCCACGAAACACAAAAGAAAAGCATGAGAGGCATGGTGTGACACGTGTGCTTTGCGTGTCACAGGGGAGGCACAGGGCTGGGAAAAGCCTAGGAAAAGGTCAGTGCAGACAGGGAGAGGCACACACTCCCCTGCACTGGGAGCTCCATATCCACCTTCCCAGACCAGTTTGCGGCATGAACAGACATTGTAGCTGCTGTGGACCAGAGGACAACTTCCCAGCACCTCTCCAAAGAGTGGGTTCAAACCCTGCACTGCTGAGGTGCAGATGCACAAGAGACATCGCAGTCCATCTGGGAAGGCATCCCAGCAGAGTCTGTCCCTGTCCTGTGACATCTGCAGCCCTGGGCACAGTCGGCCACCAGCCCCAGTGAGCCAGGGGTGTGGCAAGGGGCACATGTGCCCAGCCATCCTCTGGTGCCTGTTGTGCACAGCCATGTGCCCCAGGCCTCAGGGGGCCATGGGGGAAGCAGGACAGAGCAGGATGCAGTGGAGGAGCACAGGGGGATGGAGCTGAGCTGCCATCCCATCTCCCCTGTGTCTGGCTTCCCCTGTCCCTGCCCCTGCCTGGCACAGCGAGGTGCACAGAGAGGCTGTGCTCGGTGGCTGGGATCAGCGCTGTGCTGTGGATCAAGGCTTGCGGTCACATTTTTTCATTAACTATTTTTAATCCACATTTTGCCTATTCTCTGTTCAGCCTTTTATCTTCTCCCCTCTCCAGGCAACAGAACACAAAAAAAATCTGCACCGCAGTGTGCGGAAAGAAGCGGGATTGGTGGGAAGCGCAGTAGCTGGCAGCCGGGGCAGCACTAACACGCCGAGGAGGGGTCCTGAGGGCCCTAAATTTTCCTGCTGATGCACAGACAAAATCATAGGAGCAATCGCTGAATTTGGCGTGGGTCAGGACACACGGGGCAGGCGCTGCATGGGGCATGGCGCTGCGCTGCGGGGTGCACGGCAAGGGCTGGGCAGAGCGGATGCTCTGTCCTCTGCCTGTCCAGCATGAGGGGAGCCAGGCTGAGCCCCGCAGCCTCTGTTCCCCTCACTGCCCCGAGGGAAGTGCAGCGCCGGGCAGATGGGACCTGCAGCAGCTCTGGAGATGCACTTGCAACCAGGAGGACGGCAAGGTCACATACCCGACATGTCCTGGTTAAACAAAGCCATTTACCAACACCATGTTGACACAGCAGAGCTCGGGACAGAGTCACAAAGGGCACTCACACCGGGCCCCTGCAGCACCCGGAGAGCTTGGGGAGAGCTGGAAAGGGTCAAAAGTGTCCCCTGCTTCTGCCCCTCAACAAGAGACCCACGGGCACTCTTGTGCCCATGGTGGTGAGACCCCGCGGGTCCCACCACGGCGAGGGGCTGCTCTGGGAGATACTCCCTGCGCGTCGGAGCCTGGCTGGTGTGGTTGAGCGGGGGCTCACCGCAGCCAGGGCAGCGTTCAGGGGTGCCGTGAGCCCGGCAGCAGCGCCTCTGCACAGGGACGCCAGCAGCAGCGGCTCGGGCGGGGAGCAGGTGCAGCCCTGCTGAGACCCCTGGCCCAGGACACCCCTCGCCGAGGGACTCATCCCCCCCAGTGCCGGCGCCTAGCACCAGGGCTGCTCTGGGACCTGCTGCTCTGG